ATGTATAATGTTATGTACTCTCAATAAATTTAATAAAATAAAAAACAGAAATTTTATCTTATTGTTTCTCTGTATAAAAGACATGTGACAATTAACCCTGGGTATGGGGCAGGTTGACAAATCTGCGCGATTGTACTTAACATTAAAATACTTTTGTGTGTAAAGATATATAAGAATAATATTTGTTTTTTCTTAAAGCTAAAGGATGTGACTATTATATAATGTACCTAATATTACATAGTATTGCGTACATTTTTTTTTTTTTTACAATCTATTTTGGATGTTACTTTGTGCCCCGGTCTCCCCTACATAGAAACAGTAGTTTCTATAATAGTAATAGGAAGTTTGCTGATATTCCTAAATATGTCGACATAATAGCAAAATATGTATGTCTTGTGGCACTAAGAGCTTAGGTGTCCATAATAACTACCAAAATTTAGGAACCAAACCTAATTTTTAGCTGTGAGAGCTAACTTTTTTTTCCGTGTACACGTCATCGCAGAGAGAAATAGAATAATGTTGTTGCAAAGTGATATATCGTTTGCTCTAAGACAGCAAAAAAACTTTATATTTTTGTAACAACAAATATATATATATATATATATATATATTTTCTCACAACAAGTAAATAATTCGCACTGGTAACTTTTGAGATAAAATTACTCATGCATTTTTTAATTACATTAATTAGACAGTTTGCTACGAAACTGTTAACTTCTTTACTTTAGACAGAACGACATCCTGTGTAACTGATCGCTTCTTGAAGAAACTTTCTTAGCGACTCCCGAGGAAGCACTAAAACGGAATACCGGTCTTCACACCGGAATTTCAAGAGTGAGACATTTAGTACCTCTTAATACATTTTCCTCGCCAGCTGTAAGTTAATTGAATAATTCGTAGCCCACTTTTATCGCGGAACTCAAATGAGATTCACCAAACTTGCGCGCTCGTCGGATATATTGGCCCATTCACGAGCAAAAGAAAGAGAGAGAGAGAGAGAGAGGGAGAAAGAGAGAAAGAGAGAGAGTAAAAAAAGTTATTATCAATGAAAAGTTTTCTTCCCCTCTTGCGATGCTGCTTATTGTAAAAAAATATAATTTTCTATTCATAATTTTTATATGCGAGCAAAGATGCGAAATATGTATGTACGAAAGAGAAAATACACTCTCTCATTACAACAATAACTTAATATTGTCACGAGCGCGTGGTAGAAAATATAATAATCCAGTATGAGATTTTTCAGTAACAAACAAATATAAACACATACATGTTTTTTTTTACATATTTTTTATTTATTGTAAAAAGTAGAAAATATAATTAAGAATAATTGTGTGACACGCAAATTCCGTTTTTGTTAAAATACGTAAAGATCAACTTCTTATACGACGCAACAACAATCGTTCACTTCACGATCTAATATCCGGCGTCGTGTTCAACGATCACACACTCGCAATCGGTAACATTGTGATTACGATACATAATCAAAGATTTTCTCATCGGCGGTTAAATACAAAACGTGATATGTGATAATCACGGCAAATCACGTATTGAGATGCTAATCAAACTTTTTGAGAGAGCAAAAAGTGGAAATATTAAAGCGGCAACAAAAAACAAATGTTTTAATTACGACGTAGTATCGAAGATTTAATCGCGTATAAAATGATATATTGTATATGGAATTAAAGAACACACATTTGTGTCGATTTCGAAGCAAATGTGAAACAATGAAATTTTTTTACAATCAATCAAGATCATCTTAATTCCACATCGAATAAGACGATAAGGAACGATAATTATAATAAAAGAAACTTTGGATAATATAAATTATAATATAAATCTATTTGTTTAGCGAACAAAGCGAGCCGTGTCTCTGGATAATATGTATACTTACACCTCGAGAGGATCTTTTCCTGGTGGGGGAAGTGATTTTTTCGCGTCTCCATTTGAATATCCCTTGACTTCCCCGCCTGATGAGCGTTCGTGGAGAACGGGTAAATTCGTTGAGTCATCGCGCATCGTTATTTAAAAACTCTGCAATCACAATGAGAAAACAATAGAAATTATATTAGCGATTCGCAATTGTATAGCTCCGTAATATATTTACATATATATATATATTTAATGTTTTTTTAATTGAATTTTTCATTTTCCACGTTTTTACTCTTTGTCTCATTTTCTCAGCTCGCTTTATTTTTCTTTACGACGCGATTCCGCGAGAAATCCCGCAGAAACAAAAAAAAAAAAACCAAATTCTTTCCGCCATTCAAACAACACACAACGTACGAAGATGAATAGAATTTGCGGAGAATCCAGGGCGCCGTAGAGAGAGTTCGCTACGTGTGTTACGGACGCAAATATAGCGTCTCTATTTACTACCGCAAATTATTGATATTAATATCATATGTTTGCGCGCGCAGAAGTGCTAACAATCTAAACAATAATTAGACACCGAGCCGACCCCGTGTGTTAATTAATCGATCGACCGCTACGGAGAGGGAGCGCATTAATATCAACAAAACGACGACGGAAGCGAATTCGGTCGACGTTACGTCTTATTAAAATTGCACGCTCCTCCCTTTTCCCGTATTTCCCGTTTCGCAAGAGTCCTCTTGTAAAAGGAAACGTCGATTCGCTTTTCCGATATGTCGAGTAAAGCGAGACTTTTATCCGAACCGGCGGATCGACGACTTCTCCGATATGCAAATGCGATATCGGCTTCGTGCCGTTAAGAGGAGAAACGGCCACGCCCGGCGACGGGGGGGGGAGGGGTGGGTGGATGGGCCAGGAACGACGTTAAAGCTCATCCGGCCGGGGGGCTTTTGAGCGCGCGCGCGCGATGAAAAGCGCGACCGAACAAGACTTCGTTAGATCGGTGAAAAACTACCTGACGAAGGGCGTTTTTCACATGGTCCGTTTCCCGTAATTCCGACCGACCGACCGACGGACCGCGCTGTGATTACAAGGAACGAATATAACACGCGCGCGCGAACACGATCGCGCGTTTTGACGATTAGATCGTCGATTTTCGTTGTAAGCTCGCTTCTCAGCCGCGCACGAGTCATATCTCGAATTTTTCTTGATCTCTTCGCGTCGCGTTATTTCCGAATCAGAATAACCGCGTTAATTATTCACGCCGCAGAAACGACAGAATTTCATTTATTGCCACATCTTATCATAGACGTATAATATATAGACTGCGCGTTTGGCTGAAAAGATGTCTTCAACGTTGAGAGAGACAACATACTTTGAACAGTAACTCTTTCTCTGTCTATCAATGACTGTGATGGGATCAGGGCCTACTGTTTCGTACCACCTATAACCTACCATCACCCCTTAATCTCTTTCGATCTTCTTCACCCCCACTATTTTTCTATCCCCACTTTTCCACTACTATTCCACACCGAAAAAATTGTATTCTTATTTTAAGGATATCCCACTTACTTTAAGTATATTTTATACTAAAATAGGCGCCAAGAAGAGTTTCTTATTTTAAGAGGAAAATCCTCTAAATAGTAATATTGAGATAAGAATATATACTGATTAGAATATAAAAAG